ATATATATATATATATATATATATATAGGGTAGAATCGAACCTAAATCCAAACCAACAAATTAAATTTGGATTAGATTTCAATAATTACAAGGACCCATATGGTTTCAATTATGATACATCTAAAGTATACTGTAGGAATTGAAATACCCCCAACCGGGACGTGCTGGACGACCCTCCAATAGGGGGCGCCAAATAGGCACCTGGATGTCCAGTTTTATTCACCTCGAACCACCCATGCCTAAGCCTATTTGCACCTACGAAATTGACAATTATCCTCAATTTCTAACTATATTTATACTTCAACATGATTTCATTGAAACATACATAAGATTAAACTTCTGTTTGAGCCACATTTCTTTTGGGGATAATGTAATTTGGAATAGTAATTTTATGGAGAATGTTGATTAAAAAATAGAAAAACAATTTGGGTAAATGTGTAAAATTTTATGAAAGAATGTGTTTAAGCATTAGAAATTTCATAGAAACCTTTTCAATATGTAAAGGAAAAAAAGAAAATATTTCCACGAAACTTCTTTAAATAACTTGCTTTCCATGGTGATAGAATTGATCTTTAACAACTTTTCAGCATTCCATCTTTCAAATTTCCCCTTAAAAATTTGGGGGATCACCACACACACACACACACACCCCCACACCCACACCCAAACCTAAATTTTTTTTAATCTGACATTAGGTATAAATATGAAGACCAGATGCAGCGAAATCACATAAATATGTATACACCCCCAACCCCAAAAAAAACAAGAAATTTCAAGTTTGTGACAATATGAATTTTTTTCAAGTGCCATTTCTTCATCCAAAGTTTTTTTCCCCTACTAAATGGAAACTTTGTAGGAAAGCCAAACCATGTAATAGCGAACAACATTCAAATGAAGAATCAAGAATTCCTGAGACCTCAAACGAAAAAAACTTTCGCATTACAAAGTTGAGTATGATGATGAGTAAACTCAGTAGAGTGAACTGAAGATGAAGGGGCGAGCTTCTTCTAATAATATGAAAGAGAAGGAGAAAACCGGTAAACAAATCTTTTCGTCAATTAAATTAGAATATAAAAATTTGAAGCTAAATAAGCCCTTTTTTCCAAGGTCGGTACAAAAAAAATTCAAAATCCAATCTTTTTCGCTTAGAACTTCGAAAAATGTAGAAATACAGAAAATTACAATAATGTTTCATGACATAAATATCAACCCAAACATCTTCACATTTAGATTAGATTAACATGTACAACAAGAAGTCCCTTGTTAAGGAACAGCCAATCTGCAGTTATGTAGTGCTTGCTTCATACTGGACCTGCCGTTGTCTTCAAAGATCCAGCAGCTCTATGGTCCTCTGATCCGGCAAATAATTGGGTAGAATAAGAGCCACTTTTCCACAATTTTCCTGGCAATTCCCTGCCAGAATTGCCCTTCAAGGAAAGATTTGTCCTAAATCGATTTCGGTTAACTAGATTGTTGCAAGTAGGTGAATGCAGAGCCCCTTCAACACAATCTTCCGCTTGTAAACTGCCCCACTGCTTGGACGGCACATCTTCGCGAAAATGTTTAAGCCTTGGGAAACTACTCATCAACTTAGAAAACACCTGTTGATCTGGGGAATTTTCCTCTTCAAACTTGAAACAATTGGGGCATGGTGGGTCACTTTTGGGTACCTTTGGTGCTGTTTGCTCCAAGCACTCTGCATGGAATACATGACGGCATGAAAGAACAGCAGCAACTGGCATATCCACACTTCTAATGATCCATCGAGAACTCCAAGGTGATATCTGTGAAAGAAACCTCTCACACAATCCACATCTGAACTTATCAGGAGGATTACAAGATGTACAAGACAAATCAGATTCAAGTGGCTCCGAAATATCTGCGAGGTCAAGACTGCTACTAGCACTGCTCAAATGGCTCTTGTCTTTTCGTAGATTAATGGCATCAAATTCAGGCAGCCTGACAGCCGTGTCATCAGTAGGTCTTGTGGGTGTTTCTGATGGAAAGGATAAAGGGTGAATTGCTTTGGACATAAAGCAACGGCGCCTTGAGAAGTTATGATGTGAGGAATGAGACTTGGCAATGGAATCATAATCACTGCTGTCTGACCGTGATGAAGTCGAACCTCCAAAATCCCTACCCGTTGATGTTCCCTGTAAATTCTTTCATTTTAGTGAAAAGTTCAATTACAACAAGATAATTGGCTCAACTGCATCAAACAAAGGAAGATTACAAACTCATAAGCGATACCTCATATGCTGGTGAGAAAGATAATTGCCTCAAAACTGCATCAAACAAAGGAAGGTTGCAATAAGAAATATTAGCACCTTGAGAAAAGCAAAAGGTGCAGTTAACATTTACTCTCATGAGTTTCATTTTCTTCTTGTTTTTTAGGCTTTCTTTTGTATAAAGGAAGTGTTTAAGTGAAATTAGCAATTACGATGGCACTAAGTCGCCAAGCCTGTAAAGACACAAACAGAATATAAGTATAGACCGCGCTCAATTTCCACAGGAAGGGAAAATTTCTAATCAACTTTCTAGGAACACATTTTTTTCTGGGCTGTGCTTGCTGTACACTCTTGTGTACAGCAAGACTTATAGCTCCATCACATGAGGGGGCTGTACTTGTAGAGTCCAAGATATTTATTGCTGATGGAAGCTCGCGAATGGATTGAACTGATTTCATGTATATTTTAAAGCGACACGACCTGTTTTGAATCACCCTAGTGGACCCGAAACTCGACGTGCGTCGATGACAAATGCTAATTAGATGTCAGATCCACCATTAAGGCTCCACCATCAAGGCTGACTATGAGTTACTAGTAAATATGCACCAAAATCAAATGCTTATGAAAAAATTATGCAACAGGCCCAAAATAATTACTTCGTGCTTTATCAAATTGACTCGTATCACTCAATGTGTCGTGTGACTATAACTCTGAAATCATCAGGCTCCTCAAGCCATTGAGAACCCAAGCTTGAAAACCCACTTCTTCTTCTTTTTTCTTTTTTTGCCTTCCTTTCTTCCTCATGTTTCCCGATTCTTCTCCTCTACTCTTTGTGTTCTTTCTTTCCCAAAAATGAAAATCAAATGGTCGCTTATCCTTTTAAGTGGATAAATATCATATAATTGCAAGCCAAGTACCCAATCTTCATATGACAACATTTAGTCCTTTAATTATAATGATAGAAAATTGAATCCTTGGATTTTAACTAGTACTATCTCCAGCACCTTAAGTATTAATAATTACAAATTAAACCCATAAAATATGATATAATTGTCACAACCATAAAATATAATGCAAAAAAAAGTTGAAACTTATCTTCAGATGAAAATATGGGCACTCTTTACATGGCATAATCCCAGCTATATATATATGATAGTTATCTAACATGTCAATCATTATTTCTAGTGAAAATTTGGAATCAACATGCAGGAAACGCTTGTTATACAGTGTAAAAGCTGCTAAGTTTCCCGCACTCAACTAGGAGCCTTAGGGAGGATCCAGTGTCCAATTAGGTGAACCTCAATTTATCATATGTTTCACTCATTCTTGAGCATCATATTAGAGTACCACATTCACACAAGTATCACAAAAGTGGCATGCACAACATATGCAAATGTTATGAAAACTGAAGAATCCAACAGAAAGAAGCAGCTAAACATTAATCACAATATACTATGAGTCGGCCGCATGACATCTTTTTCACAACTCCATTTGATCCAGCACCACGTTGAAAGATTCAAACAGAAACGTTAAAATAAAATAATTGCCAAAACGTTTTTACTCACCAATTGAAGCGCTGCATTTGTTTTCTCTAAATGCTAGTGTTTAACAAATATAATTATATTCCATAGTTCTAAACCTTTGATTAATGCAGTGGTACTTAAGAAAACACAAGAAACATATTATTTGAGTCTTTGAGATAATTGGTAAGACATTATAAAGATCACAAAACTAGAAGATGATGCCAAACACTGGGAAAAAGTAATATGCTTAAAGCCAGGGAAATAGTAATTTATTTTAAGGACAGGGAAGTTCACTGAATGGCAAACTGAATGTTCCAAATTAATGATATGTAGATCAGTGCTCCCCAAGTGGTTTATTATTGCTTGCAAACTATGTTGAACCATCATTCATTGACTTTTCTATAGAAAATTGTTACGTGCTCTTTTCTTTTTGTAGGTCGTTTATTATTTTTATTATAATTTTTTTGGGAGTGTCTTGGAAAGGGAGAGTGCATTTCGTGCTCAAGCTACAATTTTACAGCTGGCAAAAATAAAGTATCATTTCATTTGGAGTAGGCTTGTTTTTGTCAAGAGTTCTAAGGACTATTAAACAAACAACCATTGCACAAGCCTTCGGTAACCATTGTGTATTGCATCATAAAGAAAACCGACGGAAAGTTCAGAAGTTCTTTCTTTTCCTTTTCTACAAATAACTCAGCATTATAAATTTTCTTCCATAAAGCCTTTCCACCAGAATACACTTATATACACACACACATGTATGTAATGTAATCAGGTCCATAAGTTACTTCACTAAAGTTGGATCTAAAAGAATATGTGTGCATTAGGAGAAATGAGAGAAACAAAGACAAAATAAACATGAACATGAACATTATGAAAGCAAGGAACAATTAGCAAAGTATCAGCATAGAACATAAACTTAATGATGGTAGCAATAAATTTCAGTTTAAAGGTGTAATAACGCATGTGGAAAAAACCAGTAAAATGTATATAAAAAGGACATAGAAACTACCAGCAAATGAAGTATTGCAAAAGAATAGAAATGTAGGGGGAAATTGAATCACTTATTTTAATACCTCTTCTTGAATTACCAAAGTCGTTGGCCCTGATTTCCTGTATTGTCGGGAGAGTCGACTGCTGTTCAGGAATGATATTGATCGGACTACTGAAATATGGGCCAACTCCATCAGGTACCAGATGTTGGTGATTAGCATGATGATTACCTCTCCCCCAATTACCACTTTCTTTGCTATTTGCTGATGCAGAAGACCCATAAAATTGAATACCATCATGAGAACCAAATGATAGCCCTTCAGATTGGAATCCGATATCCCATCTGGGAGGTGGTGGTGAAAAACTTGTATTAGTTCGCCAGTAGGGTTCGTGTGGCCCCAAAGACCACTCCCTGCTGGTTGCATTAGATCCATGTGGCCTGGCAGCCACACAACAAAGGGACCCCGTTTTAACTATCTTGCACAGCACTCACTGGAAACCTATCCCTGTTCGTTTCCACAATCTTTGAAATGCTTAAAAAAGACTAACAAGAAAGAATATTTCATTTTCCTTGAATACGAGCATCCTCAGGATGTTATTATTTGTAGCCACATCAAGTAAAAACCAACTGTAATGTGTCACTTTCCCAATGAGGAAACCTAGCCTTTATGAATTTTGATCGCAGAGAAAGCATGAAACTAAATTAAATTAATCCAGCTTTTCAACGAAAATGAAAAGGCAAGACAGCAGAAGTGATTCACCAGCACAAAGGATGGCCATCAATGATTGTCCGCGATATTACAAAATCTAGTCACCAATGAAATCTGTACAACCGCTCAAAACTGAGGCCCCTGTAATAGAAAAAGAAGAAAACAGAACAATGTAAACTCTAAAACAAAGTAACTAGCACCACAGTAATGAAATCCATCTAAACCACAAATCATTGACATCAATTCAATACAAAACCATACTGACATAGAGAAGATTTAGAACCCAATAACTTTCCTTATCTTTAAACGTGGAGGTTTTTCCCACCAAATTTCAAGATTTTCTTCTGAAAAGATTCCATTTTCATAGTTGAACACATTACTCCGCAATTATATACACTTGTTTATCATAACAAGAAATCTTTGAATAGCTTGAGGTACACACAAGACAATCTAAATAATAATTAAATAAAAGAATACCAAAAAATCAAAGCAACCCAAAAGTTTCTATATGAAAAGGCCGTTACAATAATAGACTTTTCATCAGCAAGGTATTCAATCATCTCACATTATCGCAAAAAACAAATTTAAAAAAAAAAAAAAAACCCGGAAAGAAAAAAAAGAAAAAAAGACGACTTTATTATAAAAGAGGAAAACCCAATAACTGAGAATCTAACCGTATATTCAACGGCGAAAATGGGCAGTTAATAAACCAAAAAGAAATGCAAAATGACATTCAACCTGAGGAATGAAATTTGTATATCCTAAATAAACTATTAGTAAATATACAGTGTGTGGATGAGGGGCTTACGATTGAACAGAGGGACTGAAGTGAAGAGAATGAATGATATATGTACGTCTGAGACAAACTGGCAGAGAATCTAAGAACCCTAAACTGACCGCGAGAGTCGCGATTGTTTGAGTGGGGTGATTTGCACTTTTGCCCCTTCTAAAATGGATTATTGTGATTGCTCACCTAAAAAAGTTGGCAAGAACTATTAGAACCTCCTGTGCTAGGGTGAATTGTACAGAAAAATTGTCTAACAAAGAAAATGTTAGGAGTACATAATTTTTTGTATATAAGGGTATCCACCTTCTTACATACGTAAAATCTCCTGTGCTAGAGTGAATTGTATAGAACAATTGTCTAACAAAGGAAATGTTAGGGGAAAGCAGACCTTACTTATGTGAGAGGGTGGACACCCTTATGTATCAAAAATTATGTACAAAAATCTTTGAATTAAACTATTTGTACAATGTTAGTTGACAAATATTGTTGACAATGTCTGAAGTGACGAAATCAGGACCTATAATTGAAAAAATAGTTTTTGATAGTTCAAAAAATAGATAGATGTGATGATATCAACAAAGATTGTCATCCATAATTGTACAAATAAGATTGTACATATAGCATAATTGAAAACCTTTATCCGTCTAATAATATTGATATTAGCTAATAATTCAAAGCAATGTGGCTATGTCTAGTTTATCCCTACTATATAAAAAAGGGAAATGTGAGGGCACTGTAGAAAACAACAGTGCCTTGATCAATCTTTATTGTAGCATTTTTTTTTTGTTTTTTTTTTCAATTTGGGGGCCAAAAACGACGCCGCAGTTTGCTTTATATATATTTTATTTTATTGTACACTACTTCCAAATTTACTGCAACACACAATTTTCATTCTTCTCTACTCCAATATAGATATATATAGTAGGGATATAAGAAAAATATTACTTTTAGATTAAAAAAAAAAAGATAGAGATAATATGAGACAGAAATTTTTTTTACAACATATTACTTGTAAGTAAAAAATTTGAAGAGAAAAAAATTAAAGAGAATTATAAATTGAAAAAAAAATTATAACTAAAACTACACAGCAAAAAAAAAATGTAATCTCTCCGTGCACGGAGCAAACGCCTCCGTGCATGGAGACAGTGTCTACAAAATTTAGAAAAAAAAATTTTAATTATGTTTTTGTGTTCATTTTCAAACTCATTACGGGATATTAAACGAAGTCGAAATATTACATTCTTAATATCGTTTTGAAGTACTCGCGATATAGTATTGCACATCGATAACGGTGCGTGAAACGGTGAATCATAGCAAATGTTATGGGACGTCAAAGTAGGCATTTTCAAACTATATTTCAAAATTTTCGATAACAAGTTAACTTTAAAAATTCATCGACGATTGTACGATAGTCGAATGGATAAATGTTTTGCATTCTTTCGAAACTTATTTTGAGAACTATATCGTAGAGATATCGAATGATCTAAATAAATATCAAAAATAGTTAAACGGACATTAAACGTTTGTGTTAAAAAATACGCATAAGTTAAAAAAATCAATTATTTTATTACTATTTCGAAATTTTCGGTAACAAGCTAATTTTAAAAATTCGTCGACGATTATATGATAGTCGAATCGATAAATATTTTACATTCTCTCGAAACTCATTTTGAGAACTATATCGTAGAGATATCAAATGATCTAAATAAATATCGAAAATAGTAAAACGGAGATTAAACGTATGTGTTAAAAATGCGCGTCGTTTTTCTTAAAAAAGTCAATTACACTACCTCCAAATTTACTACAACGCGCACTTTCCATTCCCCCCACTCCGATATAGATATATATAGTAGGGATATAAGAAAAATATCACTTTTATATTAAAAAAAAAGATAGAGATAATATATAACAGAAATTTTTTTTACAACATATTACTTGTAAGTAAAAAATTTGAAGAGAAAATAATTAAAGAGAATTATAAATTGGAAAAAAAATTATAACTAAAACTACACAGCAAAAAAAAAATATAATCTCTCCGTCTGTGCACGAAGGGGAAAAGAAGAAAAAAAAATAAAAATTGTTGGAGGGTCTTCGTGCACGGAAACAAAATTTAGAGAAATTTTTATTTATTTTTACTTATGTTTTTGTGTTCATTTTCAAGCTCATTACGGGATATTAAACAAAGTCGAAATATTACATTCGTAATATCGTTTTGAAGTACTCACGACATAGTATTGCACATCATTAACGATGCGTGAAACGGTGAATCATAGCAAATGTTATGGGACGTCAAAATAAGCATTTTCAAACTATATTTCGAAATTTTCGATAACAATGTAAATTTAAAAATTCATCGACAATTGTACGATAATCAAATCGATAAATGTTTTACATTCTTTCGAAACTCATTTTGAGAACTATATCGTAGAGATATCGAATGATCTAAATAAATATCAAAAATAGTTAAACGGACATTAAACGTATGTGCTAAAAAATACGCATAAGTCGTTTTTCTTTAAAAAATCAATTATTTTATTACTATTTCGAAATTTTCGATAACAAGCTAACTTTAAAAATTCGTCGACGATTGTACGATAGTCGAATCGATAAATATTTTACATTCTCTCGAAACTCATTTTGAGAACTATATCGTAGAGATATCAGATGATCTAAATAAATATCAAAAATAGTTAAACGGAGATTAAACGTATGTGTTAAAAATGCGTATACGTCGTTTTTTCTTAAAAAAATTAATTATTTTATTACTATTTATTCTTTTTTCGCAACAATTTTCTCAATGCATCATTTTGCTAAAAACAAATATGTGGTATGACGAAAATTTTTTTCTACATGCACGGAGTGAATATGTTTTTTTCATCATTTTATATATTGAATTATTACTAGAAAATTAAATTTTATCTCAAACTATTAAAAAATACTAATTATTAATGAAAAAATCACTTTTATATATATAAAAAAAAAGATAGAGATAATATGCGACAGAAATTTGTTTACAACATATTACTTGTAAGTAAAAAATTTGAAGAGAAAAGAATTAAATGGAATTTTAAATTGAAAAAAAAATTATAACGTGAAACTACACAGCAAAAAAAAAATATCTCCGTGCACGAAGACATTAGTCTCCATGCACGGACACGAAGGAAAAAAAATAAAAATAAAAATGGGAAGGGCCTCCGTGCACGGAGACCATGGCTTTCGGTGCACGGAGAGATTTTGGTCTCCGTGCACGAAGAGAAATAATTTTTTTTTTTTACTTATATTTTTGTGTTCATTTTCAAACTCATTACGGGATATTAAATGAAGTCGAAATATTACATTCTTAATATTGTTTTGAAGTATTCGCGGCATAGTATTGCACGTCGTTAACAGTGCGTGAAACGGTCAATCATAGCAAATGTTATGGGACGTCAAAGTAGGCATTTTCTTACTATATTTCGAAATTTTCGATAACAAGCTAACTTTAAAAATTTATCGACGATTGTACGATAATCAAATTGATAAATATTTTACATTCTCTCGAAACTCATTTTGAGAACTATATTGCAGAGATATCGAAT